AGGACTTATGATGTAAGATATGTGATTTAGTATCTGTATGCAATTCAGAGTGTTAAGTAAAGGTTTCTTAAATGAAAGAATATCTTATAGATATTAAGCACTTCAATGACTTTAAATTACTTTGTGAAATACATAACAATTAAATGCTCCAAAAACAAATTTAATTCAAGTGAATGCCAAAAAACATTCATTATATACTATTCATAACATATCTAGAGGTAGAAAAATCAACTAGCTCTACTTAAATTAGACCTCAAAAACAATCATAAATTTATGCTATGATGAAAATTACAAAACAAGTAAAATGTGAGAAAAGTATCCAAAATTTTCCAATGAGTTCTCTTGGTACCAAAAATTAAACACAACAAAACCAAAGATGCTAGGAGAAAAATGAACAAGTTGATAGGTACTCAGTGAATTGCTTATGAAAATCACTTTGTGACATTTGATCTAGGGTCACTGATACCTCCAGTACAAAATATATCTGGAAAAAATATTTATAAATATTATGTTATTAAATCTAAGTAAATGCTATCTGTTTGGTTTGCCACACTAAATTAAAAGGTGTGAGCAATTCAAAAGGGCTCCTTTCCTATGTCAAACCAGAAGGGGGCCTCAAATCTAAGACTGGAGCTAGAGAAACCATGCAATGTTTGTATAGAAAGCTAAGTCTTGAAATTTATCTCTTCCTGTTGAAAAAAGAAAAGAAAGAAAAAAAAAAGAAATACCTGTGTAACTCAGTTTTAGTAAGCCACAAAAAGGCCTTGCAATGCAAACGTTTGACTAAAAAGAAAACATTCAAGACTAGTTAAAATTCTGGTTGAGATAAAACTCCATGTTACATTTATTATTTTTAAGTTCTTATTTTTGCATGTTCAGGGGGAAAAGTCATAGAAAGTGTACACATGTATGTTGGGAAAATATTGCTTAAAAATACATTATAATTTAAAATAGCAGAATTCTGTTGAAAATACATCGTAATTTAAAGTACATTATATTATAAATTAAAATACATTATAATTTAAAACAGCAGAATAGTGTCAAGGGGAGAAAAGGACCACACAAATTTCAAATGGTATTAAATGAATAAATTCTTATCTAAAGCACACACACACATACAAGGTTAATGGTAATATTTGCTGTATATAGCCAAACTCCAATACAACAGTGATATTTATAAGCAATTTTTGAAGGCAAAGGGCTAAATTTATTGCTAAAACAGAAATCCAAGAAAAATTCACTTTTTTAGTACTTGTTTATGAAATGATACTTTGTTACAGGGGCCATACAGCTAAACAAACTGTTACCACCTACTAAGTTAAGTATGGAGGCTATCAAGGTATATTTGAAAGTCAATAAAACTCAGTTTTAGCTCTAAAGATACAAAATATCTGATGAAGCAGACATTTACGAACTCAGCTAAACTACACCATATTGAATTTTTAATTCTAACACTAATCAATTAATTTGTTTCTGGTTATGTCAAATTCAAGACAATGTTTAAACAACATTAATATGTTCTTTTTTCTTTCCTTCTTTGGAGGGTATGAGGGAGAAAAGAAAAAGCACAGATTCATTTTTAATATGATGAAGTGTAATTTTTTTGAAGATAAGATTCAACAAAGATATGTCTTCAGAGATTTTAAGGTAAAAAGGGTGAGCCATCGACTTCTCTGGCTATAAAACCCAAACCTTGGTTTCCTCTAGTGGGAAGAGCTCTTCTCTTCCAGTTCTAGTTCCTACCTTTGTGATGTTGGCAGCCCACACAGATTGAATCAAACTGGGCTCAATTGACATTTTTACAAAGCTAATTAGAAGACATTTTCAGAAATAAAGTATTGTATAGTAATCATCCTGTGAGATCAACTGATTCTTGCCTATCAAAGTACAAAATGTTTCCATGTATACATACACAAGTATTGGTCAATTGTAATTGAGAAAGTCAGGGGGGCAAATTTTTTATGCTGAACATCACATAAGGTGGTCAGAATCAATAGGAGATAGAAAAGAAGTATATTAGGAGCCAACAATCTGGAATTTAAAATATAATCCCCAAACTTGAATTTGCCTAAATAAGTAATAGGCTCTTGTTCTATTGTCTACTTCATATTAATTATTAATGGGGAAAACATTTTAGTTTTTTCTTTCACAGGTAATAATAATGTCTCACTTAGATGTGAATGTATACAAGATCTGTTGTTTTACTAACACATAATGATTCAAAACCTAATAAATTAATGTCAATCTGACTCCACTGTAAATACGTATGTAGAAAAGTAGTATCCAACAGCATTATAGCTATCGGCTCCCAGAAATTAGTAATTGTGAGTGTTATCACTTATACGAGTTCTACAAAAACTGTTTTCTCTCAGGTTTAGGGTATGTTTCACATTTCTCAAGCAGTTTTTTTTTTAACCTGTCCCTGTCTCCTGTCCATACAAATTTGTGATCTTGGACCTTTAAGTATTGCTCTTTCATGTCACATATGTCAATGGATCTTCCTGTTGGAAATCTGTGTTACTCAAGTAGTTTTACTCAATTGGCTTAGAATTAGTATTTAAAAATTTTTTAAAGCCCCAAAGATAGTGAAATTTGGCTTAACAGTCCTCTCCAAAGCAATTTCAAGACAGACATTCTGCACTGCTGCTTTTCTTTGTCATCATCTCTTACACTCAAGCATAGATAGCCATATGCAAGTAGTAAAATTAAGAGCAGAAAAAAAAATAATGCTTTTAATTCAGGTAATACTTTAAATAAAACTAATGAACATTCTCAATACCAATTAAAAGTCTTCAGATAACTGCAATTAAATGTAAACATCAATAAACATCAGTGAAGAGTTCAAGGTAACAAATACCCAAATATTACATACTGCTAATATTTTTCTCTCATATAAAAACATAGTCTTCTTATTCCCAAATGATACAGGAACCCAGCTTCTTTTTTCCATTGACATTCTTAAAAGGATTCAAATCCGCAAACAGGACAGTTTTCATACCACAAACTGATTCTTTCCTAATGAAATTCTAATCTTTACGATAACAAGGGTGCAGAAGCCCTATCTACATAGCTAGGATTCAAAGTACACTTGAATTTCAATTATTTTGTTATTGTCTTCTACCCATTGACTCGGTTAACAAAAGTCTTTCAAGAAGATTCTTTAATAAAGAGTCTGAAAGAAACTGTCTTTTAATTAACTATTATTACTACATGGGGAAAAGGTATAACCCAGAAATAAGAAGTTCAATTTCACCAACTGCATTGCTGGTGGAGCCTGAAAATCTAAGGCTCTGATTAAGGACAATGCACTTAACCACAAATAACAAGGGTAAACTCAATCTTTTTCAAGCTCCCCCACACCTTATTACCTACATTTTCCCCAAAAAATCATTATCATAAAGATATATCAACATATAGATTAATAGATTTTCCAGTGATGTAGCAAAGATACAATCTGATCCACATCATGCCATGACTGTTAAATTTAATGACCACTGTTGCTTTTTCTTTCTTTTAAGCTCTTAGCTGCTTTTAATACTTACCTGATCTGCTTAGGGACAATCTAAAAGCAGTTGCTTTTTAAAGATTTGTCTGTAAATATTTTTCTGGTGCATGAGAATGTGGGAAGAGAAGGATGCACATTGACAAGCACGGTAGTAGCATTCAGTAGCACTGAACTTTACCCTATGAGGGCAACAATACCGTTGCATTCTCAAAAACAAATTGTGTGTGCATTGCAAAAATAAAAGTCAAAACCCTAAGTATGACAAGTATGCAAACAGAAGAAAACAGAAGTAAATTACTCCATTTTTATTGATCATAGTTCGAAACAATCCAGACTACAATATCCAGGCAGACTGAAATCCTCAACTGTCACAATGAATGCACTTCAGAGCAAATTATGCTGCAATATGCTACTATGATTAAAAGTCACCTAATCTGGGGATCTCTGTAACAAAATGAAAATGAAGCAGGCAAACAGATTCTTCATATTTTTCTACGAAGAAGAGGCTGTAATCTTGTCACAGTTACACAAAAGCTTGGGGCAACTTTTATCTTTATCTAGGATCACAGGTTTCCACCCAAAGGTATTACAATTACATTTTTAAAAAATACACAATTTAATACCGAGTATAAACTACTATTTTACAACATGACATGTATTTAAGGTCCGAATCCATTGTAACAAATGCGGTACTAAGGGTAATCATTTTACACATAGTCTCTGAGATAAGATCCTCCCACAGCTTTCCTTGGTCTCGTTTTTTAAAAACGCACAAATGTTACCGGACACAAATGAGAATAAGGAGCAGCAATGAAAATGAAGTACACCATATGTTCCTATGGTAGGCTAAGCCTAGGTCTTTGTTTTCACTATTCCAGAGCCACTGAACGGAAAGCTAAATCTCCACCCATTAAAATATATTTTCGCGTTATTGCTGGCAAAAGTTATACTTCAAATAGATTCTATCTGGATTCGTCCTAGACTGACTATTCCTGCATTTGCTTAATTCAAATCTCTCGTAATTCTACGAACCTGCAATACAACCACCCTGGATACCAGGTCTATAGCAGGACCATCTGACAAACCAACGCAAACGGTAGACATCGAAGAGAAACGCAAAGTTATTTTCCTAATGAAACAGTTCTAAAGTGATACTATACCAACGAAAACATTTTGCTTTTTTACCAGCTACGCACCCATCCAGGTACCAACCTACCTACCCTTAATAAGGATTTCCCTCAATCTTGCCGATCTCCCAGAACAGTTGGTGCAACTCAAACCCAAAACACTAACCACGCCCTTTATACTCGGGGTCAAGCTACCTTTTGTATTTTCCCCCCTCAAAGTCCAAAAACGTACATCTTTCACCCATCTGGGTTTCAGTGGTTTAATTAAACCAAAGCAGACCCTTTCAGTGGTGCCTTCGCACAATTCCTAAGGAAGATGCTTTCTCCCGGGCAGTGTGAGGACGCCCGAGCTAGGCACCCACGCTTACCTTCCACACACCTGCAACCCGTGGCGGGAGCTGGAGGCTGGCAGCCAGGGTGCACCCGCTCTCCTTCTTCTCTCCGGGGAAACTACAGTCCAGGCTGCGCCTCGGCTGCTCGTGGACTCAGGCTCCGCCTACACCTCCTCTAGTTGGCGAGCCCGGCAGCTGTTGCCCCTCCCTCTGCTGCTCTGCTGCCGCCGAGGCGGGAGGCGGCAGGCGGCGGGAAGCGGCACCGGGTGCCTTCCCGCTCCTCTGCGCGTGCGGCTGCTCGTCGCCCCCCTCCGCGGCCTTACACCTGGAGTATCGCCCCGCCTGCCTCGCTAGGGACCCAGGCTAAGTTTCTCCCTCTCAGCGCGCGGACCTGGTCGCTCGGTGTGCGTGGGGCTCGGCTTCTCGTGGGAAAGGTGCTTCTCTGGCTTGGGCGCGTCCAAACACTGCACCCTCCCTACATCCTGACAACACGCAGCATCCCAGCTCAGTTGCTCCGTATTCCCCGCCCCCCCCCCCGCCAGCCCCTCACCCTCTTACTTCCTCCACTTCGCTAGCCCGCCCCTTCAGTGGCTGAGGCGCCCGTGGGGCCAGTACTGCGCCCTGATTGGTGCAGGTGAGAGCTGGCCCCGCCCCCCTTCTCCCTTCCTTGCACCCTGTCTCTTCATCTCACCTCCTCCTGAACAAGCAGGGAACTCTCTTACTATTGGCTGGAGGTGTCCCCACCTATCGCCTTAGGCTCTCCCGTACTGCTTGTCGGGAATTGTAGTCTATCAAGGTCAGGAATAGCCAGCAACAAAGGCTAGTAGAACTACTAGTCCCCATAGGACTTTGCGCGACTCCGGCTGGGCAGGATTCCGGACAACGCCTGGTTCCTCTCGGGTCCTTCCGGCGTAACCGGAGTGAATTGATCCGGGAGTTGGAGAGGGCTTCAAAGGTGGAAGTGAAGTCAGTGCCTCAATTGCCGGTAATGTATGGCCGTTAGTTAGTCCTCGTAGCTCCATACGGAGTAGAAGAGGTCTGGGGTCATACGGGGCCCGTAGCCGAGGCACTTGGGCTCAGTTCTGGCTGGCGGACCAGACGGGGCTGGGAGCGGGGCCCTATGGACGTAAGCGAGGTTACCCTACGCGAGTGGCGTAAAGCGGGTTTGTAAGTGCCGCCTGCTGGGTTGGGGCCTGAACGCCTCCAGGAAGTCTTCTAGGTGAGGGCGGGAGGGGAAGGGCGAGGTTGGCCTCTGGTGCCCTGGGAGAGGGGAGAGGGCGGATGTGCCTGGGGTGGGGTCCTCTAAGGGTGTGGGGTGTGGGGGAGAGGTGAGGCTGCTGTTTGCCCCTTGCTTTCTTAGTAAACTAGGGAAGAAGCGGAAGAAAGAAGGGGTGTTTGAAAGTCTGCTTTTGGGTAAGTCGGGTTATGCCCTTTAAGGGAAAAGGAGACCTGGAGAAACAGGAGTTAGATGTTGACTGATGTACAGATTCAGTTCCAGTTTTAAGACGTGTCCCCTCTAACCAGATAGTTTTTCCCTAAGCAGGAAGCTTGATCCTCATAGGTGCTCCCTCTAAGTGTGTTTGCTCCTTTACTGTTTTCAGAGCGCTTTCACTTTAGGATGCTCATGAGGAAACTGAGGGAGTAAATGAATATTCAAGGTCACTTGTATAGGGACGAATCTCGGTCAGGTCCAGTTAAAGTTCAGGTTCTGAACCGGAGCTCCCGCCCGACAACAGGGAGTGAGGAGTGAACAGTGGAGGAAGTTGCATAGTAATGGTGTTTTACTTAGATCTAAAACCCTTGAAAGGTGCAGTTCTGTTGTTGTTTTGTCCTTAGGTGGGGTGGTAAAATTCCTCACTGAAGGGTTCTCACTAACGTTTTGGAAAAATGAAAGATCCATGTCAACTTAGCATTTTTCCCTTTTATTAAGGTTATGTTAAATGAAAGACTTCCAGAGACCATTTTTAAGTGTAATATTTAACAACATAGCTCTGGGGTTTTTTTTTCCTCTTTTTTGGTTTTCTCTCATTTTGTATAACTGTGAATACTGGAATTAGAAGTCTTTAACAGGCCTTCTATGTTTAAAAAAAAATATGCAGCATCAAGGAAAATTTAGTGTGTTTATTAGAAAAGAAGACATGCATTTCTTGAAGATAGTTTTTTGTTTGAGATTTAAATTTGTTTTCGTCTCTTTTTCTTGACTCTTTAAGATGTGTGTGTGTGTTTAATATTAGCGTCTGGCTTATTTTCTTATTAAAATCATCTGTGACTTAATTCTTAGTTTACATAAAAGAAAATAATGAACATAAAGTGCTTTCATACAGACTATTCTCTGTAATTTTCATTATAGCCAATTATAGTTTACATGTCATTATTCGTAGGAATATATTCACTGATACTAGGATTTCTTTCTGATGTTTATATTCCAGGAAGGTATAAACAGAGCTATCCAGAAATCAATCATGGTTTATAGTTTTGTAAGTTGCCTGTCAAAGTATGCTGTATTTTGAAAGCAGCTTACAGTTACTAATATTATCCCAACTTTAAATGCAAAAACTTTTTTTAAGATCAGAGATACTTTATCTATATGGTTGAAGTTAGTATAGTTTGTAATAGGACTTTTAAGATAGAGATGTAATACTGTAGAGTGAAATAAAATCATGAGTAATGTACTGTGAGTAATACAGATAAGAAAGACACAACTAAACAAATGAAAAATTGTGTAGGGTAACTGTCTGATGCATTAAAAAGGTGTGGTAGATTAGGTGGACATAAACTGATTGTGAGCCAGCGATTGTAAAACAAGACTGTTAATGTATTTTCTACGCGACAGTGAACATTTGTCTTTTGTATTCCCAGTGTATTTGTTTTTGTCATAGGTTCATTCCTACTACTAAATTCTCTTTATCCTAAAGTCCACTATAGTTTTGATATTTCACCTGTGTTATTATGGGGGGGGTAATGTTTCTGTTTTGTTGTCTTTCAGTCATATGCTAGAGTTCACAGAATGATACGTTTTTATTGGTATTTGTAGTTTCCTAGTGTCCACATTTGTTCTCATTGTAGGCTTTGTAGGCTCTCATTTTAGGCTTTGCCCCATGTGCCAACTTTTGGACATCATTTCATATAGAACTTCAGGTAGTGTCAGTGAACCTATGGAATGTGTGCCACAGTTTGTATCAGTAAAGGTCCAAATGTTCATCCTCACAACACTGAAATGTTTCCATATATTCTTTATCATAAAGATAGTGAGAACAGGGGCTGGCTCTGTATTATTTGTCATAGTCTCAGTAGACAGAATAATTGAGTAACTATTTACAGAAAATAGTTAAGTGATTTGCCCAAAGTCATGTGACTAGAAACTGGAAACAAGGCATAAGCCAAGTCTTCTGACTATACAACTTTAATATTATGGAATGAAAACTTGTTACCCTTATTTATTTCATGTGAGAAAAAGAAATGAATTAAATTTTTAAATATGATTATCGTTTTACTCTGTTTCCTATCCCTAGCTTTTCTCATTATCATGCTTGACTTGGAGTCTTTTTCACGTATCTCTTTTTCTTGTCTCTACTGTTTCCCTCTCCCTTTCCCAAATCTTGCAAATTCCTAGTCAGTTTTTGTCTCAAATATCCTACCTTAAGGGAGCTCTTCCTGACATTGACACCCCCTCCCCATTCTAACACTAGACTAGAGAAGATTACCACGTTTTTGTTTTTTTTTTTTTTTCATCTTCAAACTAGGGACTGACTTGTGTTGATACTTACTTGATAACTGTTTGTTTCCCTCTCTAGGCTGTAAGTTAACTGAGCAAGGCCTTCTTATTTATTATTGTCTTTTCCTTTACACTACCTGATTGGATTGTATTCATTCCTAGTGCCCCCAGGCCTCTGCTAGAGACAAAAATACTGCAGAGAATAAAATAATAACCCATCTTCTGGAGGATTGAGAGATGTAAGAATTTTCAGATGATCTAAAGCTTAACAAATTTAGATTAGCTACAAAGGAGTTATTGCCAAAAATTTAATATAAATTATAGAAGAGTGTTTGTTCTTTCTTGGAGATCTGTAAAATCCAGTTGAGTAGTTTTCTTTGTGGGAATGACAGATGATACATTTTCATTTATAGCAGAATTCTTGTTTAGGTCTCTCCATATTGGAGACCTTATCACTGTCCTGCCTTTTATAAGCATCAATTATTACAACAATGTATAAATGTGGAAGAAAATTTTAGTAGATTTTTCCCTAGTGTTATCTCATTTTTTTTCCTCCAAACTGTTTCGTCCAGGTAGTATTAGTACTGATAACTGAAGACACCAGGAAAAAAAGGAAATTTACTGATTAAACGGAGAGAAATTTGATTCTTACAATTTCCAGAGCCAAGATTTGAATTTGGATCTCTCTCCCTACTTTTTTTTTCTTTATTCTTGTTTGTTTTTTAATAGTGCTATGTTCCTGTGTTTTTTACCTTTAATATCACTTGCTTCAGACAGCGTGACTTTGCAAAACTGAGGACTTATTTCAGAGGATCTTATGTTTTTGGTTTTCTTGAAAATTTGCATAATACTGTATTTCAGTGAGTTTTAAAGTAATACCTTATTTGTTTAAATCTGTGTATTTAGAAGAATAAAAAGATCATTATTTTAAAAACATGTAGACAAAATTTCAGAGATAAATTATATTATACTTTGGTCTTGAAAGTGAATTCTGAAATTATTTTGCAGTACCACACTAGTAGAAGAAAATACACCCAACAGCTTTTGAGTTTCTGTACACTTGCTCACAAAATATTGTCCAGAGGTGATTGATTGGCATTGAAATCCAAGGTGGCTTCCCAAGTTTTATTACTAAATGTGAGTCTAAGTCTGTCCTTTTGTTAACTTGAATTGTGAATAGCATTTCATATTTACCTAGTATAACCAGTATATGGGACATAAAATTGAGTAAATTTCTTTTTATGTTAAACTACCAGGATTATTACATTGTACTCAGAATTTTAAGCCAATTTCATGGTTCTTTTCCATGTGATATAAATTGGGAAAGTGATTGTATGTTATGAGTGCAGGTACTCCTTGGAGTGTTAGACAAAGTGGCAGTCTGACATGTCCTGCATTTCTTTACCATCTTCTCTATGTGACTGCATACCGTCAAGAGCGTGGACTGTGTCTTTACTTTTCATCACTCCATCTCTAACTAGCGCTACTGCTGACTTACACTATCCACACTACTATCATGAGTATGAGGAGATTTTTTTAAAAAAACATGGATGCATAAAAGAGTTTATATGTTAGGTACTAGAAGGGAAGTGGGATGTATGTACATTGTGTGGGCATTTAGTCTTGTTGATACTTTATTTCTTCATGCACAGTTCATTTCTACTTAGGGTCATAGCTTATAAGGGAGAAACTGATAATTTCTCTAACTTACTTAGTAGTTTGTAGCACTGAAACCTGTCTCCCAGCCTTTTTTAGACATCCTGTCTTATTTAGGATGACCTGGAATTCAGCTGAAATTATTTGTAATTAATGACGAAACACGAAGAGTACATACCTGCTGTCTTCTTATGTTTAATGCAAGGTTATACAACAAAAGTCAGTAGAGAATGTTAAATGAGTCAGACCTAGCCTCTAAAGCAGCAAACTCTCTGTATCAGTTCAGATTGTAGCAATGGTTTCTTAGTACCAAAAGACTTGAGATAATGCTTTGATGTTTTATTTAGAAATAAACATGCTTTGTGGATGCCTTTATTAATATTAAAGTTGACATTTTGGCAATATTTTCAAAGTTCAAGAGACTCCCAAGGTTATACCTTAATTTTGGTGTTTATTCTTAAAAATGCATTAAACTTTTGCAAAATTTGAGTTACAGGAGATACATGAAGATACTATTCCTTTACCCACTCATTTTCTTGTGACTCAGAGCACTTGTACTTGAGAAAAATTGGAAAGGAAAGGTGAAGTTAAATAGTATCGTAAGTTACTATTTAAGATA